GAGACTTGCAACAAGTGCGATATTTTGTGATTGATTAAAATCCAGGACCACAAAGGTTAGTGGTAAAAGCTATTCAGGTGTCTTAGGCAACATAATCACGAAGGATCTCCGTCTGAAACCGAGGTCAACTGGCTTTGGATTCACCATGTTAAGGCACAGTCATATTTCCCGTCGCATACCTAGAGAATGAAACTGGTATTCATGCTATGCCATACGAAGTCATACCGGTCAAGCTGCCAGACGCAGCGCCTATGGATTTCAGTGTGATTGAACTGTTGCAACGGGCGTTGGAAAACAAGTAGTATTTGTAAACTAGATAGATTATGGAAAGTATGCAAGGACTTCTCTGGTTTAGACATGACAGTCTTACGAGGGAGCTTCTTGCAATGGAAGTTACGCAGAAGGACTATTGTCAAGATGCATGGTTGTAAGGTAGATCATGACCGAGTGTGGTGACACAGACTGTAAAGACGTTGTGCGGTTCCAAAATCGTTTTAATATAAATTAAGCAACGTCTGTAAAAAAACGTATTGGTTACGACTTGAAAAAAAAACAACAACAACACAAAGCAAAAGAATAAAGTATCCATACTTACGAACAAAAATCAAAATCGTTCCTGGTTATAAGCAGTTACAATGGATTACTTGATTGAGAATCATTGTTTAAGCGTAAAACTGCATAGTAAGTTATCTACGCTGTGACCACAGCATGGACGAGAACATCGAATTCTCGAATTTGTTCGTTTCAGAATTTCGCAGAAAGCTGCACGAGGAACAGCTGTGTATAGTCGTCCCTAATTTTGATATGATAGATTAAGAGGAAAAACACCCACTTCGAACTCTTGGACTGACTACTCTTGTCTGATAGAAAAGTGGGATTTGACTGTCATTCTTACAGCACACCCCTGCATAGTCCCAACAGGCCGCAAACTATTAACCCTCGATTCATGGCCTGGTGGTTATGGGGCGCTCGATTCGCAATCTGCGGGATCGAATTCCGGTTACACCGAACATGCTCGCCCTTTCAGCCGTGGGGGCGTTATAAAGTATCAGTCAATCCCACTATTCGTTTGTAAAAGAGTTGG